TTTCTGATATTGAATTTGGGGTCTTACTCGTGCTGCTATTGACAAATGCATGTTGTATCATAATGAAAAATTTATTCATTTAATAGAAGATTATTTGAATAAGATTCGTGCTAAGGAAAATGAACTAATTAGTATGCAAGAAATTCAACATCAAACTGTTATTGAAAACGGCGTGGGAGATAAAGAGAATATTGATCCTTTATTTATGAATCCTCATAAAGCTGTAGTAAAAGGAAGGCCACGAAAAGCAGGTCACCGTGCTAAAACTGTCACAAATTCAATATCAGAAAGCACAAGAAAGCGTGGACAATATGTTTGTAGATTCTGCAAAAATCTGGGTCATAATATTTCAACTTGTCCACACAAAACGTAGTTCAATAGTAAAATGCAATGTATATAAGTTTCATTAATTATCAAACCTGCAAAGACGAAAATTCTGCTTGATAATTATGCTTGATTATTGTTATGAATATTAGGAAAAATGGATTTTTTTTTAATCAAACAATGTAATTTAACATATTAACGATTTTTAATGTTTAATTTCTTGAGCGTTTCCTTCTGAGACTTTAGGGTTAGAGTTTTTTTTCAGATTAGAGGTTAGAATTAGAATGGTTTATAGGAATGTATATGTTTTTATATGATCTTGTGTTTCTTTTAATCATTTTTTCTGAGATTTTAGGGTTAGGGTTTTTTAGGTTAGAGGCTAGATTCAGGATGGTTTATAGGAATATATGCTTTCTTGCATTTGTATGTGTTTTATATGTAATGTCTTAAATATGATCTTGTTAGATACTACATGGCTATTAGAACTTGATATATAACGTGAAGTCATAAATGAAAATTTATTTTTATGTGATTTGGAATTAAATATTCAGGTAAGTATTTTAGTTTTACAAAATTTGCTTGGCCATTAATTTTAGATCAGTTGTAAGAATTTTTATTGACATTTTTATATAGTTTGGAGTCTGGTCATAGATTAACAATACAATTTACTTTCGCTATTGTAAATTCATTAGGGCCAAAAAAAATCTTCATTATAGCTTCCTTCGAAAGAGTATTATATGTACTTCTTTATTTCGTTAATAATTCCGCAATTTCAAATTCTTCATAATGAATCTTCTTATATTGAAAGTTCACTATAACAAAGAGAAATTGTATTTAATTAAAAGATAGATGAGTAAGTTGGAGTTAATCGACTGTATTATAGATTAATTTTCTGTTAGTACTTCAAGTATTT